TTTTTCCTTCCAGGCGTCAGCAGCGGTAGAGTCCTGGTAGTACCGAGACGACGACAGCTGGCTGCGTGATGCTGCCATCAACATTCCCCCAGAGGCCTTGGGACATAAGGTACGCCATCATTTGCTCGGACCAGGTAGGCCAGTTCGAGCCGTCGAGGACGGGGACAACAGCGATCAGATTGTTTGACATTGTTGCGGAGCGGTTGAGAGATCTGAAATCTGTATTGAGATCTCATCAGTATCAGCGAAGCTATGCAGCCCAATAAGGGCGCACTGCTCCATGCTGTTGGCTCCATTAGGGAGTTACCCCAGGATCGATCATCAAGCCTGATGGCTGCTGATAACAGCGCCTACGGCGATGATCACGCATCAAGCCACACTGCAGCCTGTGAGGGCGCATAGGGCGATGCACAGGTGAGCGAGGCGCAACGCGCTGCAGCGAGTTACCGCGCAGACGCAAGCTGCCTTTTGGGCTCATAACCTGATGAAGAGTTATGGGGGGCAGCAGCACGCACAGTGCGCCCTACACAACTCACCTGTATTGGTTGGATGCTGTAGCTACTGGTAAAGCTCGTATAAACGACCCTTGTCATTAGGCAGCAGAGCTGCAGGGTTTATATACACAGTGGCCCATAGGCTGACTAAGCTACGTGGAATATCTATAATCCTACTGAGCTCCACCTATGATGTCACTGACCCACATGAGCTCCGTGCCCTGTACAATAATGGAATATACCAGAATATTCCAGAGGGTTCCGGTACGTTCTGGTGCATTGTAGAACCTGGCGGCTAAGTCAGCGCCTAGTTCAACATCGGGCACCCGAGGTCATACTCGATATCCCCTTTTCTTGTCCTGTGGACATATGGAACGTCGGCGTCTTGGTAGGTCTCGTTGTGTTCAGCCTATTCCCGTTGCTCAAGGTCTATGCCATTTCTCAGTTATGGCACATGTTTGAGAGGAAGTCCCTGTACGACCCGTACCTGCCTGACGGCAGGGAGGCGCTGGTTGTGCACTTGGCGCAGATGGTGGCCAGAATGGGGCCGCCGCCGCCGGAGCTGTTGTCGCGCTCGTGCCGGCCGACATTCATCGAGCTGAACTATTTCGAGCCGAGCGGACAGTGGAAGGGGCCCGTGCCCGTTCCGTCCGGGATGTCGCTCGAGTCGCTTGAGACCCGCCTGGAGGGCGAGGAGCAGGCTGAGTTCTTGCGGTTCATTCGGCGGTGCCTGCAGTGGGACCCGGGAAAGCGGGCCACCGCAGCGGAGCTCTGTCGAGATCCTTGGGTGAACCCTGTCCTGAAGGCTTCTTGAAATCCATTATCTTGCTTGCCTTCCAGGTCTTCTGTGTCATGGCATCGCTGTCAATCCCTCCGCCCTCGGACCGTGTGTTTCCGTTCGAACGATGCAACTATTTAATTTCCCCCTCTATGTGCCCGATACTGTGCTGTCGTGTTCATGTTTCGGATGCGGGAAGAGCCCCTGAGCAATAAAACATCGGATACCCCGCACGCACTCGGTTCAGACACCTACTGGGCCTTTCCCGTATGCTTGACATGAACTATCCAAGTCTCTGTACACCGACACTGAGCGAACATGATTCCGGAGGCACGTCCCTACATCTTCAGTGCACAGATATCCAGGGTCGAGGAGAACAGGGGGTTCTCCGCCATACAAGTATCGGACCGGGAGGTTGATAATACGCGGGAGATCTATCACTCCCGTTTCCGGCGACGCGCATAGACAGAGATTGGTGAATCATCTAGTCAGGGATGACCAGCGGTGCATTTCGCGGGATTGACTTGGAGATGTCGCAGAAGTCCGATTCCGGGCACGACGACGGGAGTCGTTCGCGAAGGATCGCATCGCAGTCCACCCTATGGCGGCACAAGTGGGAGATCAAGCGCTGTGATAGTGAGCGCGCAAGGTAGAGAACCATCAGCGAGCGCTTGACAGCTTCGAGAAGGACGCTCGAGTGAAAAACTCACTTTGTTTCTTAGGTACTAGTACTGGTAATTGAGTGGATCAGTACAGCTAGCTCTCGATTGGTTTCGCGTCAATGACGTCGGTCTATCAAGTAACGGTACGCCTCGCTAGTATCCCATCTTCCTCAAGCTCGCGGGACGAGGTGCGAGTCTGAAGTTCACGCGGATGGTCACTCGAAGTAAAAGAACTCGCGACGAGCATATGTGCCGTCGCATTCACTTGCTCTTGAGCAGCTCAAATTGAGTCCATGTAAATAGAGGCTGACGCCGTGTCTCATTCCTCGCCCTAACCCTAGACTAAATGCAATCCTGGCCGAGGGTGGCGGCGCGCAGGACAAGAGGCGCAGACTGGCGAGGGCTTCGACCTCCTTGATAGAATAAAAGTAAATTAAATAACTTGATACGATGTGCATGTTCACCTCCAGGAGTGGCTACGGGTGCCGCAGCCAGTTTTACATGACCATGGTGTACTGCAGATGCAAGAGTGCTAGTCATGCTGTACTCGGGACCACGGAATGCTATGTTATGACCATCTCTATAAGTCGCCCACAGCGAGAATGGCATGCTTGGGGATCCCGGTGCATCACTATCCACCATTCATTTCAATGGGACTCTGCCAGAGGCCAGAGTGAGTTTGTGCTGTAGACAACCGGGCACAGTCACAGTGGCCCCACCATACCCACGCCCAGGCCAAATCTTCGTGCCGCACAAACTGCACGGACCCAAAGCTCCACTTCATCGCCCGGGCCTCCCGCCTCTCACCCGCCGGAATTCGCAGCGCAAGTATCCCCCGTACGCGCGCCGTCCCGGGAGAAGGCCCGCCGAGCGTGCACCAAGCGGCCACGCGATCCTGCCCAGCCGGCACGCCCGCCGGACATGCACGCGAGGGCACGCCCGCCGGTACATCGCGCGCGGCAGACCGTACTCCGGCGTGTACAGCACCACACCCGCCGGAGGGCTGGACGGGGGGCTGGCACGCAAGCCGGACGGGTACACGCGGGCTGTGACATGTCCGTCACGGCGGGCGGGGGGTACGCAGAAGTCGTCGTCGTACAGGCGGGGCAGGCGGCGGCGCGGGGTGCTGGTGCGTCCACGGGGGAGGATGGATGTTTCCGAGGCTGCGCACACGCCGCAAGAAAGGGAACACTCGCCCCCTCGCCACATCCCCGTACCCCCGTCGCACCACCCCACCTTGCGTGTTCCTGGGCCGCAACAGGACACGGCGGAGGTGGAGGGAGAAGCGAGACGCGGACGCATGGCCCGCAACCCCCGGTGCTCTTACTCAAACCACCCCCCCTGCCGTGATCGAAAGCGGCGAGCGAGCGACGGGGAAGATGCGAGGGCGTGGCGGCGGCGGGGTGCGGTTGGAACGCCGCCCACGCTGTCCTTGTGCTCCCGTGATCCAGATCCGGGAAGAGGGATGGAGGGACGCAAGTGCACGTGGACGGCGCGCAGGCTGCGATGGAAGCGGGTGGGTATCAGATCAACGCGGGAGGAGACGGCCGCGCTGCGGAGGACGGAGTTCGCAGGCGGCGGGCGGGGTTCTGCTAACAGGCTGAAGTACACGAGCGGGGCGGCGAGGTCGGGGGGAGAGAAGGGATACTACACTCAGACGAAGTTGCCGCCTTTCCTGCGGATGAGTGGATGTGAACAGGGCATGGGCCCGTCCTCACGCGGACAGGCCCGCGACGCGCTGGAACCACGCGACGACGGCGGCGACGGCGCGCACGGCGGCGTCGCTGCGGGCGAGGCGCAGGTCGGGGCGCAGGCGGGCGTCGGCGCGGGAGGCGGGGAGGGAGCGGTAGCAGATGTCGAGGGCGCTGCCGAGGAACGGGGAGGCGGTGAGGGCGGGGGTGTCGGTGTGGTTGGGGGTGCTGGCGGGGGAGACGTCTGCGGCGGGCGAGTGAGTATATGCAGATAAGGAGGAAGGACGGAGGGTAAAGGCGCACTCGATAGGAGGACGACGTCCCCGCGCGTGACCGCGCCGCCCCACGCCTCCGCGACCTCCCTCCACGCCGTGACCTTGCCCACCGCGCGTTCGTCGCCGACGATCATCCTGAGCACGCTCACCTCCCTCCCCGCGTCGCGCCCCTGCTTGATCCTGACCACGTCCGGGCCGTCGACCTCGAGCACCGCAACGAGCGTGTTGACTTTGCGTGAGTGGGACGGGAGGGAGGAAAGCGGGGTGAGGGCGTGCAGGGAAAAGTGAAAGGCAGGAAAGTGCGCGATGGACGAGGCGTCCGAGTACGTGTGGAACGACGTTTCCTGCGTCTCGAGGAGGGAGGGGACGGACGCGGACGACGACGTTGGCGCGGACGGGCTCGTGTGTGCGACGGGCTGGGAAGCGGAGGGCGGCCAGCTGATCGCCGTCGTGTCATCCTCGTCGCTGTCGTCAAAGATGATCCCCCCGTAGTACTCCGACACGCGCCGGCCCGCCTCTTCGAGCGTCGCCGGCGGGAGGATCAGCGACTGCTCCGATGGGTGCTCGTCGGCGTTTGTGATGGTCTGCCAGTGGTGTGTTGGAGTAGTGGGCACTGGACGGGCCGGAGGGGCGCCCAGGAAGACGCGATAGCGAGGCATAAAGGAGAGAGAAGGAAGCACAGCCACTCAGAGACGCGCCCGAGTCGATCGGTGGCTGTGCTGAGCCACAGACGCGTCAACTCGACTCGCCGATGTCATTCTTCCATGCCTCGAATCCCTCTTGCGTTGGGTCGGGGAACTTCGGGTGCGAAGGTGGTGTCGGAGCGCTCCTGCGCGGTCGCCGTCTCACTCATCGGATGTGTCAACTTTCTGCGCGCCTGGCTTTGCGATCCGGGAAGGTAAGGTTAATACTGTTTTAACCCTAACCCTTTGAAGCAGTTTGTTCACGGCACGGTCGCTAGCCCGTCCATTTGGACGAGCCACACCCCCGTACGCGTGTCACCTCCACACCTTCTCTTCCATCGAGCATACCTCGGAACGAGTTTGCGTCAGATCAGAGCCATGTCCCACCACCGTTCTTGTCGACGCTCATTTTCCCCCGGCTCCCGCATCCGTCTTTCCATCTATTTGATGCCCCAGTCCTCTCCAGGCGCGCATCAACTAGACGCAAAGCCGTCTGTCGGGCACCAGGGGACACTCCCGGTCCGTGTTCTTGTAAATCTTTGCCCCCTCCATCACCCGAGCTCACACCGACAACCGCACTGATATACTCGGCGACCAGCATCTAAAGTCGGTTCCGCGCCGCCACTATCGAAGCAACCGCAGCCTATCAGCCCCTATCCCTCGTAATCCAGCTCATTACACACCCACGCGCTTTCACCCCCTCCCCTCCTTTCGTTCCATCGCACACCTTGCTCAGAGAGCCCGTATCACTCCTTCACGACGCCTACGCCCCTCTTCTCTCTTCTACCACCGAGACGGGTGCCTCGGCCACCCCTCTTGGCAAAAATTCATTCTCCACGATTACCGACGCGACTACCCGACTAGCCAGAGCCTGTGGAGAAACCCAAACGCGGGCGTGGTAATAGGTGGCAGCAAAGTGGCAGCACTAAAAACGACGGTAAGGCCAACCCTGCCGCAGACTCCCCTATGTCCCCTAGGGAGCGCTCGTCGTCGCACTATCGCTTTCGTCGACCAATTGGCCCTGCGGCCGGGAGCACTTGCCGGCGGGTTATCTCAGTATCAGTATCAGGTGTCAGAGCTGAAGCGCTTGGATCTGGCAGGGAACGTACCGCTACGCATACGCCGGCGCGCTGTCTGCGGGAGACTCGTCGACGTAGACAGATAGTCAGAAGAGGCGGGCTCGTACCTGCGTCAGAGCGAACACGACCGTGCACAAGTGACTAACACAGGAACCCATCGCACCAGGAAAATTGAAGATAACGTACGATGTATCCGACCCGACACTCCCGTTACTTATCATCAACCCGCCAGTCGCATTATACATAGCTGAACGTCCACCGCCAGCTGGCGTGCGAGTATACCGGCGCGCCCGTAGCCCCTCCTCCACCCCTGCCCAATCACCGCAACGCATTCAAATCCAAATCGGAGCGTTTGTGGCCGCGATGACTCGACCCACCGTCGATGTCATACCTCGCACCCGCGAATGCTCCCGGTTGCTCTCCAGTGGTTTCTTCAACACGGCGCGAACGCGGTTTGCCCGCCGAGTCGTCGTTCACCCTCGTCTTTCCGCGTGACCGCGAAGCCACGCACGTCCAGGCAAGGTTGATACCGTCTCCCGAAGGAGCTGCGCGGTGCATCCTCGCGCGCGGGGTCTCCGAGACCAAGTCCCAGAGCGTGTCCCGACTCCGATCGCATCGTCCCACTTGCCACTCGTCACACCCCCACTGGCAGTCCAGCCAGCCGTGGACTACGCCAGCACGCACTTACACCTCGGCCAGACGAGCGAGCGCACTCCTTCGAGTTCCCGCACGCGAAGGTTGACCCCGTGACTCGCCGCCCTGCACGTTCTCGGTGCGCGCGACTCGAGAATTAATCACGACCCACCCTGCGCGCGATGCATGCTCGTCAAGGAGATTCTGATCATTCCGGTGCGCTCCGTCGTACGCCTCTTCTCACCCCCCCCCCCCCGGGGAATTCGTGGGTACGGAGCTACAGACCCTGCCCCTGTCTAGTATCCACAGTTACCCGACCTTCGTGTTTATAGGGCAAGGCATCCCCCATCCAATCCACCTCCGACACTGATGCACTCCTCGCCTGTCCCGTGCCCCTGACGGGGACTCCGAGCCGGCGGGGAAGGCTAGAAGGTATCAATAACGAGTCGCTCGCGCGTCGGGGAGGTTTCTATTGTGTATTTCCTGTGACGCCACTTCCTTATCACGCTGGGGCGGGGGGCTCTGACGGGCATCAAGTACGCGAGCCTCCTGTGCTGGTCGGCGCCGGCTCCCCGGAACGGATCTCTCCAGAGATGGGCACGCCTCGGAACTCGGATTTATTCCGATGGCAGCTTTGCTCACCATCCCGGCCGGCTGCTGGAAGAATGCACAGCGCCCTCCGAGGCCTCTGCCAGTGCGATCGGGACATATTCCGTCTGTGCTGCGGTAGTGCTAGAATGCTCCGTGGGTGTTCCACGCACATCCCGTCGTGGGGGTTTATTAGACGGTGAATTCTCAGTGACCATCAAGACTAGGGGACTCGATGGTGGTCGATGTCGTAAGGGCGGCGTAGCATTAGGAAGAACAACAAAAAGATACAGACCGACCGGACTGCGGTCTTTAGTGCACTTGGCATAGTTCCCATGGACTACATGTGCTCGAATAGTCATACAATTCGTGCCGGAACGCATAGTGCTCTCTGTAACGCCAGAGATGAAGTAACGTATCACTCTCCCCGCAGAACCCTGCCGAAGACCTAGATTAGATGCTCATGACATAACACTCCGTGCACGGATAACAGTCCTAAGCGCGTCGTAATCAGGTCCCGGGCGGCGTCCAGCACTGTGCTGCACTCACGTAAATCAGGAGTAGGTTGTCCTCGGTGATCGCTATATCCCACTGGCATCCTTTGTACCGCGTCACCAATGAAGGCAGGCGCCGCTCTGCCATTGCACATTCGAGGAACTGAGTACGATTAATCCACATTTCCTGGTCACTCGCCTTGAAGGCAGCATGCACCTGCAGGGCCCCTTCGCGCAGCTCTCGGCGAAACCTGCGCGCTCTGAAATCATGAAGCAGAGCTGTGTCTCGTGTGATGCTCGAGGGATGCAGTCCTCGGTGCATAGAGGGAGGCCACTCAATCGAGCGACCCGCGGCCATCGGCTGCCTGCGGGATGCCGTGCCATAGCTCTGGAAGGGACCGGTCATAAATGTGCTCGCCGCACCCCAGTCTTCCCATGGCCACATTTTCTGCGAGCCGGGGTGACTGATGCTATGCTGGATTCTGGAAAGAATGACCGTGGCGGGGATGACATGCGTCAGCTCGAGATGGTAGTCACCGTGGCCATCGTCAACATCCTCCTCGCCAACGGAGGATCGCATCTTGTCATAGGCCATCTCCAAGACCACGTATTCTTCCGAGAACGACGGGCGAAAGACACCCTCGCCTTGATCTTCCGACGGGTAGCGGAACCGCTGGATCTGCCAGGAAAGAAAACGGTGTTCATAAGGCGGGTAAATGAGCGCACAGCAGTATCCATCCCCTTCCCACAGAACCGGGCGATAGCAAATTCGCCTGGTATGGATCTCATAGACTTCGATCCGCGGAGAGTACGCCATCCCGAGCTGCGGAGCCAGCAGCAAATAGTCGCGCAAGAATGCATACCCATAGTGTGCATCCAGGTTGCTCATCCACTGCAGGGGTGCACAGTGAGTAAATCGAAATGCAGCATCGGTGCAAAAGAACTCACGAAACACACTGTTCCATTTTTCCACGACCAGACAATCAGTTCCTTAGTGAATTCCCCATCCATCGGCGGGCATCGTACTCCTAGAAAGTCCCCCGTTAGGCAGAGGTCGAAGCGGTCGTCCATGTCATACTCTCGACCGTGCGGGAAAGACATTTGGGTGTCAGTGGCGAGGGGATGTGGCTCGCCGGTGGATATACTCCAGAGGTATATAGCGGGTGGTTGTGAATCCGACAGTATGGCAATCAGGTCTTGCGCAGGATCTATCGCATAGGCTTTAATGGGAAAGCCGACGTTCTCGATGCGCCACTCCTTCGATCGTACACCCCGTGCATGGCCTGGTAGCACACTGAACGCCAGGGTGGAGTCCCCGACACACCGAGCGAGAACCTTCCCCGAGAGCTGCACCATATGTGCGTCGCGGCACGGGAGCTCCTCCACGGTTGCAAAGGCGAGCCGGCTCCAAGAGTTGGTATGCTTACGCACTCGTTCCAGTCGTTCCGCCATACTGACGTCGCTCGGTGCACCATCGACCATGCCAGCAACATCCAATTCTATCTTGTATTGCAGGAGGACGGACTTGTCGATGACTTCCTGCATGTGGCGATTGACCTAGCGAAGGTATCCATATTGATGGTCCGCTGAATGTTCCGGACCTATGAGGAAACCATGTCTCTCACCTGACGACAGGTCAATAGCGACCTCAAATCCAACGCATAAAGCACTCGCTCGATGATCTCAGTCGGCAGCAGATCGATATGAACCTAGAGTCCATTCGTTCCATTCCTACTTACATAATAAATTTCTAAGACCCACCATGATCCTGTTCCCAGACCCTTTCCAGAGCAGCACCGGCGACATGTGGTCGTGACCTGCTCAATAGTGTCTACAGACTTGCGAGACGTGGTATTATAATTAGCTTCAGTCGGCCCGTCGTGACTAGCCGGAAGTGAAACAACTGTAACGTGGCGTAGCAATGTCTTCGCAGTCTCACGTCACGAGCCCCCGAATACTAGAGCCCAGAACTGTGGTAGACGGGTAGACTCGCTACCAGTGCCACCGTTCGCAAACAACGCACGCGCCTTCTTTTTTAGGGAATTGAGTGAAGGAAGGCGCGAGCTTGTGAGCGGACTGGGATAAGTGAAGCATCACATGGCAGGGTCACACTTTTGAAACCGGAGCGTGACAACGGACTTAGCAAAATTTTGCGTCCACTAACCCTGTCCAACCCCAGCCTCTGCATGCTCTCTGCTTGCCTCACTCTCCAAAACTTTATAGGACCACCGCAAACGGAAGCCGAAAGGTACATGGTAGATACGATGTCATCCGCGAGGGCCGTCGGCCGAATACATGCTTGCACTGTGTTCTAGAGCCAGAGTCCGTTGTCTATCTAAAAGTGACCGTTAAGATAAACATAAGACAAAATAGGAAATAGTCCATTGAAACATAGGAAGTGGCTGTGACGGCCTTAACCATCACATTATCCCTCTTTTAAGGCGGACGGCGGCGCAAGCGGGGAGCACGCAAGGGAGGATCCAACCTCGCCGCAGGACGAGACACACTGATGAAGAGTTATGGGGACAGCAGCACGCACAGTGCGCCCTACATAACTCACCTGTGTTGCTTGGATGCTGTAGCTACTGGTAAAGCTCATATGAACGACCCTTTTGTCATTAGGCAGCAGAGCTGCAGGGTTTATATACACTGTGGCCCATAGGCTGAGTAAGCTACGTGGAATATCCCTAATCCTACTGAGCTCCACCTATGATGTCACCGACCCACATGAGCTCTGTGCCCTTGTACAATAGTGGAATATACCAGAATGTTCCAGAGGATTCCGGTATGTTCTGATACGTTGTAGAACCTGGCAGCTAAGTCAGCACCTAGTTCAACACTCCCCCTCGCTAAGTGCCGCGGATAATCGCGCACGCAAGCGTTGGGCTGACTTAGATTACTTGTAGAACCTAAGTCCAAGTTGCACTCTGAAGCGCAGAAACTTGACATGCCCTAAGTTCTTAGTGAACATGTCGGCAGGGTTATTCTCGCCATCAATGTAGAATACTTCAACTTTCTTCTGCTCGATGACTTCCCTGATATAATGATAGTGAATGTCAATATGTTTAGACCTTCGCTCGGTGACTGGATTAGACGCAAGGAATATAGATCCTTGGTTGTCACCGCAAACAGGAATGGGCCGAGTTGGTAGCCCAACTCATCGAAGAGTTGTCTAACCCATACACATTGGCGGCTACAATCACTGAGCGCCATGTACTCAGCTTCAGTGGAGGATAGCGCAACAGTTTTCTGCGCTCTCGACTGCCAACTAAATATGCCATTGGCTAATTTAAGGAAGTAGCCGGTTTGGGACTTCCTGGTACTGGGATCTGATGCCCAGTCCTAATCAGTGCACGCAGTAATACCAAGTCCACTAGCACCATCAAAAGCTAGTGTGTAGTTACAAGTCCCGATTAGATAGCGGCAGATATACAGCACTTTATCTAAATGGGCTTGTGATGGATTAGCAGCAAATTGCGCTAACTTGGTAACTGCATAGCTGATATCCGGTCGAGTTCCAAGCATAATATAGAGCAAGGAACTGATCACAGTTTGGAACCGGCTATGAAGAGTAGGATTGACTGGGCCATTGTGAGGCTCAGGTCGATAGCCTGCAGGGAGAGGAGTTGGCACAGACTTTGCATTCTGCATGCCACAATGCTGCAGCACTTTATTAAGGTAGGCAATCTGATCAAGATGAATCTCTCGGCCTTGCCTTGTAATGCGCATGCGTAGGAATTCCTTGACATCGCCAAGGTCCCTGCATTCCCACTTCTTCATGAATCATGACTTAACATCTGTCATGAGAGACTTGTCCTTGCCAAAGAACAAGGCATCGTCAACATAGACGACAATAATTACCATGCGACCATCCTTCTCCTTAAATAAGAAGATGCCAGCATCAGTAGTTAGACGTTTGCAGCCTAATTTCTCCAAAGACTCAGCAAGTGTGCGTCACCAGGCAAGCCATGCTAAGCTTACATTACAGCCGTTTGCAGATCGATAGACCACCAACTAAAAAATCGCGTATAGTTGGAGTGGGTCGGAGTGGGTGCAAGGGACGTCGGAAGAAGGTCGGGAAGTCCAGATGGTCTGATTTTCGTCTCTTGGGGACTCGCCATTGCTTGTCCGATGAGGTCCGACTGTAAATGATTTTTGAAAAGTGGGCCTATCAATCTGCAAATGGCTGTAAACAAGACAATGTTATCTGCCGTGATCGCCATATCCCAGGAATGGTCCGTATTCATACATATGACGGGAGGCAAGCGGAAGATTGCCTTGGCGGCGTTGGCGCAGGGGAGGAACGCACTGTGGTTGTTCCAAAAGCTATCATCGGCGTCCATTGCAATATGCAATCGCATTTGTCTAGACAGCAAGCACCGTCGAAGTCTATGCATGGGGAAGTCGAGAAGGATAAATATTATCGTGCATCCTCATCCTCGACTGCATGCGTGTCCAGACGCCAGTCGATGAGCCGATGGCAGGCGACAGATTGCCTTCGTAGACTGCGACTCATGTTGTCAGCCGGTGCTGTCTTGACCGTGCTTGACGGTCCCCAATCTTCCCATGGGCATACCCTGGCAGGCTCGGGCTGACTGAGCGCCTGTCGGACTCCACTGGAGGTAAGCACCGGCGCTGGGATTCGGATGTGCATGACCTGCATATTGCGATCCCCGTTGTAAGATAATTGCAAGACAATGTAGGTCTCCATGAGCGCTTCCCGGAACAGCGTTGAGTCTTCAACTTCGGATAGAGACCCTAAAGACGGCATCATATGTATATCGGGCCAGAATATGTAATCGATGTAGAGTGGGTATTCGAATGCATTGCAATATGCCTTCCCGGCCCATAGGACATGTTCCACGTACACCGAGTTGTTGATGCTGCAGGCCTCAATGCGAACGCCGCGATGTTGCTCCTCTAGACTGACGGTTATAAGCGGAAGTCCTCCACAAACGTGAAGCTGGTCACGCTAGACATGCCACTCAGCCACTGGAAAATCCGGTATGAAGTAAGAATACGAAGTGAGCAGGAATATCGACTGAACAAACTTACCATGGAAACAGTCCCTTCTTTCCATGACCAGATGACCAGATGCTCAATGATATCCCAAGCATGCAAATTTCTGTTGAACTAGGCGCTGACTTAGCTGCCAGGTTCTACAATGTACCAGAATGTACCGGAACCCTCTGGAACATTCTGGTATATTCTACTATTGTACAGGGCACGGAGCTCATGTGGGTCAGTGACATCATAGGTGGAGCTCAGTAGGATTATAGATATTCCACATAGCTTAGTCAGCCTATGGGCCACAGTGTATATAAACCCTGCAGCTCTGCTGCCTAATGACAAGGGTCGTTTATACGAGCTTTACCAGTAGCTACAGCATCCAACCAATACAGGTGAGTTGTGTAGGGCGCACTGTGCATGCTGCTGCCTCCATAACTCTTCATCAATTTCCAGGACAGAACTTAACACCTACAAATCTCCTGACAGACAAAGGTCAAACTCCCTTGCAGCATCATACCCCAAGTCATCCGGAAACGGTGATTTCGGAAGTGCGGCAAGAGGCCGCAGGCTGCGCTTGGCCAGTCGAGAGAGACAGAAAGTAAATCATATGCGGGCAAAAGTTCCTCGTACGCCGGTCTTCGACCAAAGACCCCGAAAGCACCGCCAGGAGATCTGAGCGGCATCGAGC